GTTTCATTGTTGACGGTGCTATTAAAGCCGATCGAGTGCGACACTTGCGGCTCTCCTTTTACGATTTGCCTGAATCGTTTCTAAGTTACTAAAGAAGCACAAACCAAACGGCCGGCCATTTTTAGGGCCACGACATATTTTAAAAAGAGAACTACCGTTTCTGCTTTAATATATATTTTTATAGACTTGCTGACTGTTATGATTCAGAACGCGCTGCCCTGAAGGCAGAAAGCTGTCACAGCTATTTTGCGTTCACCCCTTGTTTTACGCAATTAACATTTTTTATAAGTATTACGACAGTCTTCAAGAAAGTCAACTGTTAATACAACCACAGTCAACGAATAGAAAATAGTTTTTGTTTGTGTGTAGAAAAAGACCCCCTGGGCGTGTGCCCGGATATGACCTCAACTCCTTTATTGTGTCAAAAGTGGGGGGTGGGCGTTTGACCTGGCATGGGCTCTTACCCGGATAAGTACGGTAAAACTGTTTATTTATTTCAAAACAATAATAGAAAATGTTTGTATTTGCTCTATTTGTTCAATAAAGGTGCATAAAAGGCAAAAAATAATTTTAGGTGTGAACACACTAACACCAAACCTACATATTGTGCAACTTTTTATAAGGGTTCTTACTGTAAAAGTTCCCTAGATATGGGTAAACTTTCTGAAGTTAGAACAGATTTTCTTTACTTAAGATTTCATTTATTTTAACCAAAAAAATTACTTTCTGTCCTGGAAATGACATCATTTCAGCAAAAATATACCGGTAAAAGAAAAATATTTTTTACCAGAACAAAATGGACAGGGGTATGCTGCCAATTCATCCCCTCTTCTAGAGAAATTTTGATCTGGTAAAAAAATATTTTTAGGGGCATTTGCTTTAAAGAGAGCAAAATAGAGTGGTCAAAATATAAACCTAATCAGAGTTTTTGAGTCTTTGCAGTTAGTGAGTCTGTCTGTCTGTCTGTGTGTCTGTCTGTCTGTGTGTGTGTCTGTTCCACTGATATCTCAAGAACCATACATTGATTTTTAATGAAACTTGGTGCATAGATGCTCTCGGCCAATGCGCAGATTTGATTAGGTCTTGGTAAAAAGCCATGCATATTAATTACCTAATTTGCATGATAATTAGCTGACTTTTAGCTGTTTTATGACTGTTCCACTGATATCTAAAGAACCACCCATTGGATTTTGATGAAACTTGGCACATAGATGCTCTGAACTAATTTGCATAATGATTAATCAATTTTTGGCTTTTCTACTGATATCTCAAGTACTAATTATCACATTTCAATAAAACTTGGTACATAAATATCATAGGACACTGCACAGACCTGATAGTTTTTAGTGTAATATCACTACATATTAATTACCTAATTTGCATAATTAATTAATATTTCAAGTAGTAATCATCACATTTCAATGAAACTTGGTACATAGTTACTTAAGAACTGTGCAGAGACCTGATTAGATTTGGGGTAAATATTTGTGCATATTAATCACCTTATTAGCATAATTAATGTTCAGCTTTTCACCTGATAACTCAAGTACTGATCATCATATTTCAATGAGACTTGCTACATAGATCCTTTAAGACCTGGTTAGTTTTAGGGAAAATAATTGTGGATATTAATTACCTAATTTGCATAATTAGTTAATTTTTTCCATGAATGTTCCACTGATATATAAAGAACCACTAATTGGATTTTAATGTATTCATCATCACATTTCAATGAACCTAGGACTATGCAGAGACCCAATTAGTTTTTGGTAAATATTTATGCTTATTAATCACCTAATTAAAATAATTAATTAACACTGATATCTCAATTACTGATCATCGCCTTTGAATAAAATTTGGTACATAAATGCTCTAGAACAATAGACAGGCCTGATTAATTTTGGGTTGAAATTTGTTCATATTAATTCTCTAATAATAATTCATAGTTTTTTTGTTCTAATCACATTTCAATTAAACTTGGTACATAGATATTACATTACGCATTATTACATTACGATTTACATAATTAGTTTTCAGCTATTTCATCAATATCTCAAGTACAAGTAATTTTGAATTAATTTTTACAGCAATTCCAGGCACTGATTTGACGCTGAAGTAGTGCTAGATGTTGATAACTTACTACAGTAGGTTACACACTTTGTTTTTAAATTTACAGAAGTTGTAACTAGAAATATAAACATCGGCTGCAAATCAGAGGAATGATTGACAGATATTGCCCACAATGTTTTCTATTTTTGCTACAAGGTCAGGTACACTAGACTTTGAGGCGCGTCTGTCTTTCATTCACTTTTGGTCGGTCATCGTGTAGTTTGCGTCTACAAATCGACATTTGTCCAAGTTGTTTAAGCATCACGATGGAGAAGCAAGGAGTCAAAAAACCAGTTGAAGTGAGAACGAGAGTTGTCGATTTGTATTTTCGTGGACTGTCATTTGCTGAGATTAGTGATCGAAATGGTGTTTCAAAGCAGACAGCTTATAATATCGTCAAATGGTTTGTTACCACCGAGAGTATCCTGCCAGGAAACTGACAACGTTATAGACTTATGTCGAATAGTATAAAACATTGCGACCGCGCATTTACGAACGTGAAATCCGACAAAAACTACTTGTGTACGGCGGCAACCCTCCCCGACGTGTGATGCCAGTGATAAGCTTTTTAAAGCGATTATTTGGTGGCACATCAACCTTTTGGTTCTCGTCGTCGAGAACTAATAATCGAATAACACCCATTCTACTTGTGTATTCAATTTCATTATTGATATACTGGATGAAATTCAAAACTAACTTAAGGTACTGCCACTTTTATGGGCGGAGCTTTCTTCCGGTGCGCTTCAAATTGCAGACATGCTGTCTGCATTATTTGTAACAACTTATGTAAATGTGAAAACAAAGTGTGTAACCTATTGTAGTAAGTTATCAACATCTAGTACTACTTTAGCGTCAAATCAGTGCCTGGAATTGCTGTAATGTGTCTTCAATACTCTCAGCACACGGGATCTCTTTCTAAGCTTTCTTTATTTTACATTGAATCTAGGTATTCCTGGAAACTATTATGAGATGTCATCCTTCCCAGAAACCAAAGTGGAAAAGTATGTTGCTAAGGGTAAAGCAGCTTTATTTACAAGATATAACAAGTTTCAGTTTAGTCGAGTTTATCCCAAAGGACAGCGAGTGGATTCTTCAAACTATGATCCAATGCCATGTTGGATGTGCGGCTCACAGATGGTTGCACTTAATTACCAAACACCAGGTTTGTAATATCTATATATGTTATATAGTTTCCATTCTTTATCACCATCTCTCTCCCAAACTCTTCTGTTCAGGTCAGGTAAGTGGAAAGTTCTAGCAATTATTTTGTATATTGTACACAGTAACACAGAAGGATGTGTCAGAAAAAAAATGTTTGGTTGTTTTACATTTTTTTTACATAAAAATGTATGAGATGAAAAGTTCTGTACATAGTAATGGCCTGATCTTATTGTTAACATTGCATAATATAAGGTTATTATGAGGATACCTCAAAGTATGAACAAAGGCAGTACAGTGGGACTATCGACTGAATTGCAGCTGAGGTCGATACGACGGCGTACTGTCTGAGTGCATACTTTGAGGTATCCTTGTAATAACCTTATTTTTATACATTTTTCCTTCCAAGGATACATCATGGGAATGCTGAAATCCCAAAAGTTTAGAGCAGAATCAGCGAACTTCTTTGTGTGGGGTCCTGTCAAAACCCTGGTGGCAGCCATGTTTGTTTTTATTATTAGAGGACGCTTACGTGCTTAATTATTCCATTATTTGGAATTCGCATTTCCTAATATGATATGATGAAATACCCCATAAATTACCGCAAAATTACGATGAAATATGTATAATAATATACCTTACTGATAGGTGTGATCTTGTTGAAAGTGAGGGAGCCACAAGACTTGTTTTCTGTTACTAAAATAGTGTTTCATCTCTCATATCATCACTTCCCCAGTTTCCCTTCCGTAACCATGGTATTTGGTGACAGTGGATGTGAATGGTGAGATAAAATGGAACACTATTTGAGGGATAAAAACAAGTTTGTGGCTCTTGCTCCAACTCAATTTCACATTCTAAGGTCATAGAGAGACAGAAATATATGTTGTTATATTTTGTTGATGTGTTCATTAAATTGATTGCTTCCACATTTACAGATCGTCCTATCCAAATAAATGCCGGCCGCTTTTTGGCAAACGGTAAATGCGGTATGGTGTTGCTTCCTGACTGTATGCGAAATATTGAAGGCTATGATCCCACTGACAAAAATATTCTGAATGGTGTTGTGGAACCAATTACCATAACGATAACAGTAAGCCAATCATATTATACGTCTTATTTTCCACATTTAGCATTACCAGTGTAAACCAATAAGCTTGAAACATGCATTTTCATTGACAGATTATGGGAGCTCGCCATCTCATTAAGACTGGTCGTGGTATTGCTAGTCCCTTTGTAGAAGTTGAAATTATTGGTACTGACTATGATAATCACAATAAGTACAAGACAAAAACAAAAGGTTAGTGCATTTCAGACATTTGTTTTTATAAATTCTTTTTTTTTGACCAAATTAACATACTTTTCTATTGGCAACAGACCTTGATCAACATTTTTTAAGAAAATAAGAAAAAAATTATGCAGGTTTAAAGATGACAAAATTGTAATTTTAATTTGACATTCATAGTATTAATAAATGAGTTAAGTCTGTGTTCAATTATTATTAAAATAAGTCAATGTGCCTGGCAGTTTTGAAAAACTGCTTTCAATTATCTATCACATCTAACAGTGGACAATGGGTTGAATCCAGTCTGGATGGAAGTCTGTGAGTTTGACATCATCAATCCCCCAGTTGCTATGATACGCTTTTCTGTACAGGACGAAGACATGTTTGGTGATCCAAACTTTCTCGGTCAAGCCACATATCCAATATCTTGCATCAGAAATGGTGAGTAACACAAATTTTTTAGTCCCTGTTCAGACACAGTCCAAAACCGGGGACTTATGGATTGACCTTTGTGTGTCCGTGCATTCATGCGTCCGTCCGAACAATCAAACATAATATTATACATACATCATACATAATATTATACATATGCAAGATGGTCGAATGGTGCCTGTTTTTGTGCTAAAAAATCATCAAAGTCAAGCATTTATGGAGGCATTTTGTGCAAACTTGGTACTAATGTTGGACATTATGGGAGCTTGATGCATGATATTTTATTTTTCAGATTGGATTTTAAATGGCCGACTGGCGGCCATTTGGTTTTAATGAATGCAGTTCTAGTGCTATATCTCTGCCATGCTTTGACTGATTATGTTCAAATTTTATATATTCATTATACATCATGACATAGATATATTGGTTTGACTATCTGATTCAAAATGGCCGAATGGCAGCCATGCATGCATGGCTTGTTCTTTATCCTTGTGAGTCTTTTTGTACACATTTTTTTGTACACAGTTTTGTTAATTTTTATAAATTATTCTTAATTTTAGGTTATCGCTCAGTTCCATTGTGTAATGGGTATTCAGAGGAGTTGGAGTTAGGGGCGCTGTTGGTTCACATTGAAATCAGAAATGCAAAGGTCAGCCAAAAAGCGAAAATGTTTGAAAAATACATGATATAATTTAATTGATATGTAACTCTTCGTTATAATAGTTGTTGCGTATCTGAAATGTGAGCAAAATACCATATTTGCTCTATTAGTAGTGTATACCCCTAAGTAAATTGCAGAGGATTTTTCTATGATCAGAATAAGTAATATTTAATGATACAGTATAGTTAGTTTATATACATGTATACAGTATATATACATGGATACAGTTTTGGGGGGTTGATGTTGTACGACAGAAATGACCGTGTGGGTGTGTAAGCTGTATGACAGAGGGCTGTAAGAGTTGTGTCCAGCTCATAAAGGTTTTATCATATAGGTACATTAATTAATTGTTTTGAGCTAATGGTTTTTCATGTATTTCATTAAATCTTGTTTCAGCCATTTATTCAAACATCTACAGTGCGAACCATGACAAGTACAAACATATTCAGTTGTTACTATCACAACTCTTTCAATGCATAACAGCATAATTATGTACTGTCAAGATAAAATTTGCTACAAATTTCAGCCGTGACATCATAATGTATTGGAAACTGGCTGAAACCAGTTTGAAGTGCACGCCTTTTTAAATCTATAAAAGGAATATGTTTGTCCAAATATAGTCAAGCAGGAATAGGTTTGATAAGAAAAATTATTGCATGGCTCACTCGGGTTTCATAGCGTTATATGAGCAAATATGATGAAGTTAAAAAAAATATCTGTCATTTTCTAACACATTATTCTTGGTTTCTGCTTAGGAGGGTGAAGATGGTAACATTTATGCATCTATCCAAGAATTGAGATCTCGTACTCAGGAACTTTCTAGTAGAGTTGTTGCGTATGAATCAGGAGAACCGACAGCTAATGAGACAGCCCAGTACAATGCGATGAGTGAAGAGTTGAGGGCAGCACAAGATCGTTTATTCATGTTGACAGAACAAAGAAAGTAAGTTGAGTTTCTCTGAAATACAGGCAGATCTACACCTGTTAATATTTTGTGACAACATGGCGTCCCAGTAATTGCTATACATCTTCACGAATTGTATTTTCGTGAACCCACTTAAGATGGATCTGAGTCTGAAATCTGTTTTTCGACCCAAAATATGTTCATATCCAACTAG